CCAGTTGACAGGAGTGCTGGAGGCTGATGGCTTTCCAGGGAGTCACCTTTCCATCCTTAAGCATTGCCCTAAGCCTAAAAGAGTCACCTTGGCCAAGGACAGCCCACATCCAATGACTGGTCAAGGCAGGGCAACTCTGAGGGGCTATTCCAGATCCTTATGGGATTGGCTGAGGCCTTTGTTGGAGCTGCACTGCAGTTCAACTCCTCCTTCTGCACAATCCTTGTGCCTTCTCTTGCGAAGCCTTTTCTGAAGAAAGAGCATTAGGGACCAGAGTGACTAGAGCATCACATTAGCTGTAACTACTAGGACACCAGCCATGTCAAAGACTAGGGAAGCAGTGGCAGTAGCAAAACATCTTTACAGGTGAGAACCGAGTGACTTAGCCTCCTGGAGACCACAGCAAGGAACACTCTGCTTCCGAGCCCTCAGCCCCTATCCCCCCTTTTTACAAACCACTTTGAAGTATGAATGACATACAAAAAAGCTGTACATATTTAATGTGTACAACTTGATGAGTTTGGAAACAAGTATACACCTGTGAAACCATCATCACAATCTATGCCGTAAACATATCCATCACCTTCAAAAGTTTCCTCCTGCCCTCCTTGGTTACTATTATCTTTTGTGATAAGAACACTTAATATAATATCTACCCTCTTAGAAAAATTTCAACTATTCAATATAGTATTGTTAACTACAAGCACTATGCTGTAGATCTCAAAGACTCATCCATCTTGCATAATTGAAACTTTGTACCCTTTGTACCTCTCCATTTCCCCTTCCCCGGGTGAATCGGGAAGACATTATGCTCAGTAAAATAAGCCAGACACAGGAAGACAAATACTACATCATGTATGATACCACTTATATGAGGAATCTAACAGAGTCAAATGCATAGAAGCAGGAAATAGAATGGTAGTTGCACTTATCTCCTTCCTTGATACTCAGCCAAGGACAGAAAGAAAAGCCAGGCTTCCAGCAGCTATGTGGGCACAGGCTTCATGGAGAGGCTAGATTTCTTTGGACTTGTTGTATTACCTACTTTACATTCTCAACAATCCTCCTGAGGCTAATGGCATCTGGACAAACATACAGACAGGCAAATAACCAAACCTGCCTAACTAGTGGATGGATTCTCACCCTTGAACTTCCTTTCCTTGTTCCTAACTCTGCAGGGCCTCTTGAGAGCTGACCTCCAGGGCTCACACATTTTTAAACCAGTAAAGAATGGTGCTTCTTTACTGAAGGAAACATCCCCCAAAGCTCCAGGTCAGTACTTTCCATTATTTTTAGACTCTCTAATCCCTTTCACTATTCATCCATATCTCAACCACACCCCCACGGAATGTCTTAAATCATCTGTGTCATTTTTGCAATACAAAAATGCCATTAAGGATACTTCCTTTAGATGGGTATATTTCAATTATTGTACAAGTTCATTTAAAATGCATTTTTAACAATATTCATTACAATAAAGAGTAGTTCTGACATTTTCCCCTTTAATTAGCGCTACCTGCAATTTAATTTACTTTAATTATATATGAAAGTACATATAATTTATAGATGAATAATTCATAATTATGTGGCATGTTTGGTTAGGAAACTGGAAGACATCAGAAATGTAGACCAAAGTTAGACTATGTATTGTTGTGTTAAAAACTGCTTTCGTGATTTGATGTTTGAAATTAAAAATTTTTAAGTTTTAAAAAATTAGCTCGTTTATTTTATAATTTTTATATGTTTCCAAATGAAGAAATAAAAGATAAAATTTCAAGTTGTAATTGACAAGCATATTTCCACAACTGCCATACTGCTGGGTTTGGATGGTTCCTTTAAAAATAAAAGGTCAAATTAGCTATAATTATCACTATCTTTTTTCTTTGCATATTGATTTTTTTCTAAGTACTACTAGGGATAACTCAGTGTTGAATAAATCTTGACTGAATGAATGCAATGTGTAGATGTGGTGCAGATCAGTAAAGAGGTACGTTTGCAGAATAAGTATGCAGCTTGCTTTTAACCATTGGCCAAGTATAGATTTACACTAAATATGGGCTGGATCAATCCCACTGTCCCTCTGGATCCACTCTCCATCTTTCTCTACCCTGTGTCCTGTTGTAAAAAGTTAACTTTTATGGATTGCCTCAACAATGTCCCTTGTGCTCTGGTTTCTATTGGGTTTGGCCACTGGAGACTGAAGGTGAGTGAAGTTGGGATATTTATTCCCCCAGCTGGTAGATCACCTCAGGCTGGCTAAGTCTCATGACTTAGTCTCATGACCCCTTTAGACCTGGCTTGACCACAGATCCCTGCTGTTACTAGCCTCGAGTTTTTCACTATCCCTTGTAGTTTCTTTTCTGCTCACACATTTTAAATATTCTCTTTATTAAACACTTATCAGATTACATAATTTGAGTGTGACAGCTCTCTTCTGCCTGGACCTTAACTCTTTCATAATGTAGGACTATGAACGAAAACAATGTAAAACTACATGATGGTCATAAACATGGCAGCCTGGTAGTCAGTGAATGTTAAAGCAACTGAGCGATTGAATCACGAGCCGTCTCATCTGATATTCATTATATGACACACACAGTCAGCCAAACGCATATTCAAGGCTTGAGAGAAAATCAGTCTCTAATTATCTCAAATATTTACTGTTGATTCTAAGAAGTAGAAAATGAAACCACAAATACTCTTAACCACAAACACTCACTAATAACCCCAAAAGTTTTCAAACCACTGGTTCAAACATTTTTTTTTGCTAAGTATTTTTTACCCCATCCCAATGGATAAATTATGGAATAATGTGTATAGAAGTCTGTGTGTGTGTGTGTGTGTGTGTGTGTGTGGAATGGTTTAGAAATCTCTGGATATGTAAGAATGTACAACCAACTGTACTGATGAAAACTATGCATAGCACCAAAGTCTGAAATGAATCTTCAATCCCTTAATCTGCAAATGGAAAGAGAGTCACTCACTAGTCTTCCTCTAATCCAGGGGAGAATCCAGGCTCCAAAGAAGGGTTATTTATTATCCAGCAAGGAGACACAGGTTTAAGACCATCATATGCCACAATTGCTTGAGTCTCTGAGAATCCATAAGCAGCTGGATTATAAACACAGGACATGAATATAACAATTCAACATTATGGAACTTTACGTGAAGAGCTGGGCTCACAGATTTCCCTGCGGAGAGCTGTGATGAGCAGCGAGCTGTGAGTGCTCTGAGATGCCTGCCTGGGGACACTGGGCAGGAAGAGAGACATGGTCACAGCAACTCAGAGTGCAGGGTGTCCAGTTCTTCCCCTTCGGTTGACCATGCCAACAGAAGACAAGCCAGAAAAGGGAGTGAAATACGACGCTAGGGAATACTTGTCACAAGATATATAATGCTTATTGATTTTCTTTTAATAAAATTCCTCCAAATCTATTATGGCTTGAAAGTTGCTGAGGTGGTGCCAGCTACTAGGCTGTCCAGTGAAGATATTTTCTCCAAAGTGAAGAACCTGTTCATCCAGATCCTTCCTACTGTCCACATCTCTGACCTCAAAATTGGCCATGCCTACCTGTTTCTTCTCTCTTACACATACACATGCACACATTCTTATGGGAAAGTTGTAGACAGTCTACAATCCGCTAAGTAAGAGAAAATCCATAAGCCCTAGGGCAACAGCAGACAGGGAAGGAGTAGACGGAGCCAGCGAAGGAAGGTCATGTGAGGGTAGAGGGCTGACCTCCTTTTTCCCAGCCGTGTAAAATGGCTGGTAAGCAACTTTCAACTCCTCTCTCCCTCCCTCCTCCTCTTCTTTTTACCTCCTCCCCCTTTTAACCTATTTTGCCTGTCCTCTTTCCAGGCTAGAAAGGAACCAGCTGAGAGTCACTGTGTTGAACTGGAGGAGATAATACCAGTTATAATGGAGGCCCATACCCTTGAGGCTAAAGTGTGCCACCTTCCAAAGAAGAGCTTGGTAACCAATGGCTACAGCATATTTCCCTTTCAGGCACTGGGAAAACAGCAACATTAATCAAACTTTTTCCATGTCTCGCTTGCCCTCAACACTACTCAGGCAGCCAAAACTTCCTTGCCTCCCTCTATTGTCAAAAATGCCATACTGGTCAGCTCACCCCAGTGCTTGACCCAGAAGAGTCACATGAATAAATGAACAAATTAGAAATGAATTGATGAGGCATATACTCTCCCAAATTATCTTGCTCTCTACCAAATCAAAACTTTGCTTTATTGAGACCAGCTTACGTCTGTGTAAATTTTTTTAAAAAAATCTTTGTAGTAGGATTCACCACCAGTTTAACTTTCTCTGAGGATCCTTTCATTCCTAAAGTAGATCTTTGTACATTGAAAAAGCCATAAGCCAAATCTGCTAGGGTCAATAACATGGAATCTACAGAGCATGAAGCTGTCAGATCCCCACCTCACTCTTCCAAGTGGCCCTGCACCCTGAGGGGCCTGTAGCCAGTCATACTTAGAGAGTAGACATAAGTCACCACATATGAGAAGGGCATCTCTTTCCAGGAATTGGATAATATCCCAAGAGAGCAACACATTTCTTGCTTCCATGTTGTCCTTCTACCCAGTTCTGCTCAACCATAACATATCAACACGAGTAGTATCGCTCATCAACCTACTGGTTTTCTGTTGGTGTTCAAAGAAGTATGATGGGCCAGCAGTCCTCAGGAGGGAGTTTTAACAAAATAGGAAGTATCCTTTTTTTAAACTATCCACAATGAAATTCACTGTCAAAGTCCATCCATCTCTCTTAAAACGTGCTAATTCCTTGTATGGAGACCACTGCTTCTTGAGTGAGTTCTAGAACAAATAAGACACCTCTTAAGGGAAGGGGACCTAGAGAAGGGAGGCCTTTGGGAAAGGAAGGGACGTCCTGAGCCCTGGATCCGGGTGACTGGACGCATCTACCTTGGGTGCTTGCCAAGGCCTGAGGAGCCTCCTGCGATGACCGTGGGGTGCAGGCCCCTTACCTTACCACACTGCTTACATTTTCCCTCCTGCCGACGCCTGTGTACCCAGTGATGACGCACAAAATTCTGTGGGAAAACAAAAGTAAATAAACATGTTTCAATTCCCGAACTCCAATGTTAGGGTTTTTTTTTAATGTTTTAAGAATAAAGATTTCCGCGAACAACCGTCTAAGCCCGTCTAAGCACAAAAACAAATATGTGTATGTGTGATTTGTTTAACAATAAACATGAACCCACTTGGGAAAATGAAGCCAAGTCTCCATCCTCAGTGACCTTTCGTATCTGTAGAAACCATTAATCATGCCCTCCCTCTGCGGCTTCCTGGTAACGAACGGCCATAATGAATTCCCGTTACTCTGTTTTCCGTCTAGTAAAACATTGTGCAGATTTGTGACCTTGAGCTGGGGCGGGGGGGTGGGGTGGGGGAGGGTGGGTAACTGAGGCAGGTAAAAGAAATATCCTTAAAGAAATGAGAAGGTGAAGGAGAGAAGGACAAAGACCTCGAATTTTTTAAACAAATATGTATTTAATGCTTTATAAATGCCAGGCAGGTACCGTACTAAACATTGGAGTCAGAGAACTTAAAGAAATTAAATTCTCAGAAGGAAACAGATCTCCTGATTCGGGACTTACGTGGTGACAGTTTTTCACTAGCGAAAGTGAAGGAAGAGAAAAGCTGAAGGAAACTGATGACAGAGACAAGAGATGTGGGCATATCGCGAAATTCTGCAATGAGGTTGTATTTAAACTGTCCTTGGATAACCTGAATGAGATCAGCTTCCAAGGTCTATTCTTGGCTTGAGCTGTAGGAAACATGGAAGGTCCTTTTCCTCCCAAATAGAAGCACCCGTCACCCCAGCTGTTGGGATACTTTACAAGAGAGAAGGTGGTCTTCAGGCCTAATGGTACCGGTAAACCCTAATAACTTCCATACAACTCATCTCTCTTAGGCCAATACACCTGAAATATTTGCTAATGTTTTTCTCCTGCCCTTTTCTGAGAAAACATACTTTACCTGAAATTAACATGCGTACTGTCAGGCCACAATCCATACTTTCCCTTTAAAATAGGCCCTTTATTTTTTTAAATTTTTTTTGCGGTACGCGGGCCTCTCACTGTTGTGGCCTCTCCCGTTGTGCTCAGTGGCCATGGCTCACGGGCCCTTTACCATATATTCAGTTTTTCAACAAATACTTACCAAATGCCTACTATCCAGGCATTGTTCTAAGTACAGAGGGACACAGGAGACAGATCAGTGTCGAGAAAAAAAGATGTTATATCAAGGCATGAAATTCAGAGTGACAAAGATACCTCTAACAAGCATTAGCATTATCAATTCCAAAGTGCCACCTCTATTTCTCTTCGTAACGTCAAACCAGTTTAAATTGAAACTAAACAAAGATCCTGGAGGAATAATGGTCTTTTAACTATAATAAGATATAAAAAAGCATAATGGTCCCACTAATTAGTCTAGTTTTTATCTTGCTTTTCGCACTGTGGCAGTTCAATGAAACAAGGACACAATTCTTACATTGTTCTCAGAAAGAAGCTAATAATAATAGTTAACATTTCTTGACTACTAACACTGTCAGGCACTTTTTAAAATGCCTTACATGTAATAATAATTTTAATTTTCATGAGACTTTTCATGAGTATAGGTGCTGTTTAGTTGATAAGAACTAGTAAAACCCCGAGTTGGTAAAATATTGAAATATTTCTATATTGGTTGATAAACTGCAGTTTAGTGCCCCTACCATCCCCCTGGCTCCTGTCTGGATGCCATACACCGCCCCCCCGCCCCCCAACACTGGAGCCCACTCCTACCTCCTCATTATTAAGCAACTAGAGTGTTAATTTCGGGCACAGCAGGTCTCCAAGATTCTGGAGCTCTCTTCTGAAAATGAATCATGTTACTGGGGCGATGCCATTGGGTTCTCCCACAAACTCAGAAGACTGGGCTGTGCCCCACTGATGGTAGTTGTTTGTCCAAGCTTAAATATCAATATAAACAATTTTGGGGGCCTATGGCTGCAAGTCCAGAAACCTGCTCAGTTATCAGCGTCCATACCTTCAGGTCAGTGAAAAAACTCTACTGGGGATGATGATATTGGACCCTCCATCTCTCTAGTTCACAGATGAAGTGGACCACTCCAGCTTTCCACCCACTCAAGTGAGAAGCACTTTTAGCCCACTGCCTGTTTAAGAATAAGGGCTGGGGAGGCCTGGGGTCAACTGCTAGTTGTACTCTATCCCAGTTAACATCATTGTAGGGCATGTTATCCGAGGGCTTGACTTGAATTATCATTACCGTCCTCATTTTACAGATGACAAAACTAAGGTATAGAGTGGCGACTTCAAATGTCAGGGACAGAGCAAGGATTCAGACCCAGGCAGGCTGGCAGCTCTGTGTTGCAGCACCTCTCCTCTGCTCTGAAAGATCAGGTTCAGGCTCCTTCAATAAATGATTTCAATGACAGTCAGTAGTGGAAATATTGAATACATAAAAATGTCAGGCAGGATTATGAGAGATAGAAAAATTTACTATAATTGCTGTTAGTTTAGCAGAAGCTGAGGGAGAATGAAGAGTATCATTGAAGTTAAGAGAAATTCTCTGCTTATTGAGATTATAAATCACCTAATGACTCTCAATTTAAGAATTTACGGAGGGAAACATTGGAAGAATCTGATGCAATTACCTATGAGAAATCACGGCTGACTCATGGAATTATTTAGCTAGTGACAGCTCTAATCAAAAGACTAAAGCAGCAGTTTCAACAAATCAACAATTATTTAGAAATTATAAGACTGACAATGAATCATTTCTGCTGCAACATACATCGTTTGGTAAAAGCAGGTTTATAATACCACGTAGTTTAGTTTATTTAAGGAATAAAAGAGAACATTTTAAAATTTTTATTTAAATATTTGACTCTGCAAGTTGTTAACTATTTTTAATACCATCCTTCCTAGGAAATAGGTAGGAAATTAAGGCCCAGATAAAATAACTCAAACAAAGGCACTACTATAGAAACTGAGTAATTGTCTCTAATCTATGGCCCTGATTTGAGATGTCAAGTATCCATGTATTCAGAGGTCTTCTTAGGCCTGATATAAATTTCTTCTATTGCTGCTTAAACATAGCTGGAACAAAGTAAAAGCCAAAAAATGTGTGCTGAATTGAATGAAATTCTCAACCGAATTTCTCTGACAATTAAATTGTGTAGTTACCATTTTGAAGGATCATCCATTGTCTTTATCAATTAGGGGAAAAAAAACCATTTCTGTAGAATCATCCTTCTTTCCCAAACACTTAAATTTTTCACACTATTTCCTTTTGACTATTATTTATATCTCCTAAATTATTGAAATGAAATTAGACTCAGGATCTTCACATTGCAAATATGAGTGTTGATTCACTGCTGTTAAGCTAGCAAAGCAAGGCTGCTGACACCATAACATCTTGTTATTGTTCATCAATAATCTGAATTATTCATATAGCATCTTCAAATACTGGGTAAGGAAAGGGCTATTACTTATGGGTGTTAAAATCTCGGTGATCCATTATTTCAGGGTTTATAGTCAGTATTGTTAGCAGAAATGCATAACACAATTGTTCAATTATTTTCAGAAACAGCCAGTTTAATTCATAGTATTATTCACAGAGCCTTTGAAAGGATCTTAGCAATTACAGCCCAATCCATGCAGCTTATCTCTAAGAAAACTGAGGTCCAGCCAGAAAGGTTCAACTTAGAGGAGTCCAAACAACATTCATTAAAACATTTCCATGTATCAGGCACCCCACAAAGCCTAGGGGACGGTGATTAATAGCCCTGTTCCAGAGCCCAGCCCTAGAGACACCATCGAGGGGAAAAGAAGCAGAGGTGTCCTTTGAACCCAGGTCAAACTAATTCTAAAGTGATTGCTCCTTTCATTTCCATTAAGTAAACTACCTAAGGCCTCTTAATTAAGAACCTCCATGGGTCATAATCTGTCATAAGTATCATCTCCAAACTGTCCACTTAGACCAAGAGTTCTTAGACACTTGGGGAAAAATTAGCCCCTTTATAAATTCAGTCAGTCAAAAGATATTCATTGATCACATCCTCTGCATCCTGCCTGGTACAACGAGGTTGGGACAAATTTCACGAGTGATCCCCCAAAGCTTATGCTATAGGAGGATGGCAACAAACAAGCAAATGAGTAATAAATAATTATGACATACAAAGTGCTCTGAAGGGTAGAACAAGGTGCTTTGATAAAGAACAATGTGCAACCTACTAACCTACTTAGAGGTGGTCATCAAGGAAGACCTCTGAGGGGCTGATATTTGAACTGAGGTCTAACTATAAGAAAGAGCTAGCCATGCAAAGAGATTTCCAGTACAGCAATGAAACACACAAATATCAGAAGGTGAGGAATATCTGGATGCATGACTCAAGAACTGAAAGAAACTCCATGTGGTAGCTGGATGGGTTGGAAGAGGTAGGCTGGGTCCAGCCTTTGCAGGACTTTTGACTTTTCATGCAAAGCCAAGGGTATGGTTTTCCTCTAAACGATATGGAAACCACTGAAGAGTTTTAAGTTGGAAAATGATATAATCCAACGTTCATTTTTAAAGATGAGTCTCTCAAATCATGGTGGATTGAAGGGGGAAACTAAAGAATCCTGGAGAACCTATTGTAGTGGTCAAAAGTGAGAGATCCTAGGGCTTCCCTGGTGGCGCAGTGGTTGAGAGTCCGCCTGCCGATGCAGGGGACACAGGTTCATGCCCCGGTCTGGGAAGATCCCACATGCCACGGAGCGGCTGGGCCCGTGAGCCATGGCCACTGAGCCTGCGCGTCCGGAGCCTGTGCTCCACAATGGGAGAGGCCACAACAGTGAGAGGTCCGCGTACCGCAAAAAAAAAAAAAAAAAAAAAAATGTGAGAGATCCTGGTGTCTTAGTCTAAGGTGCTGACAACAGAAATGGAGATAAATGGATCGTTTGAAATATATTTTATGAATAAAATTGATAGGGTTGGCAAATGAACTACCTGTGGGGAGTACCTGAGAAAAGTAATCATTATGACCCCCCCCTCACCCATTTTCTCGATCAAGGAGCTGGGCCAATAGTCATCTCATTTTCTGAGGTACCAAAGAATTGAAAACGATTGTTTTTATGGTGATGGAAATAAAGAGTTTAGTTTGTAATGTATTATATTTGAGATGACTGTGATACATTCAGCGGGCGTATCAAATGGAACTCCAAGTGTGGGCTGGAAATGGAAAGCTAGCTATCGTCAGCCCAGACATGATATGTAAAGCCAAGGGATTGGATGAGCTCTCCCAACAACAGTAGGCAGAACATGGTCCAGTGCTAAGCCCAGCGAATACCAGGGAGTGAGCAGTGAAAGGACTACCCAGTGAAATAAGAGGAACATTAGGAAAGATGTCATGACAGGAGAGCATTTCAGGGAGGATGAAATACTGAGTAGTTCGAACACATCTGCAAGACTGAGTGAGAACAGAAAATTTTCTAATGGATTTGGCGTTAAGGAGATACTGGCAACATTAAGAAAGCAATTTCAGTGAACAGGTAGAGTAAAAACCAGATCAGAACAGGTTAAAATGCCTAGGAGGGGACACGCTGGCAACAATGAACGTAGTTAACACTTTCTGGAAGTTAGCACTGAACACAATGCTGAGAATCAGAGCCGCAGCTAAGACACAGTTGGTGGTGAAGGACTATTTTTGTTTGTTTGGTTTTTTAAGATGGGAGCTGTCAGAGCATGTTTATGATGATGGAAGTAATCTAGAAGGAAGGTGGGAAGTTGAAAATGTAGGAATGGAAGAAATAGCAAGTCCTTGGTATGAAGACAAGGGAAGGCGCTGAAAACACTTATAAAGGGTCTGGCTTCATGGAAGAGAAATAATAACAGCGGCTGAAAACACACCCAAAAAAATCCCTGCATTAGAAAATTGCACACACAATTACAGTTATCTATCCAGAGAGAAAAAGAGAGATTAAAGGACAGGGAACCAAAGGTAGACATATGGATTCCCTGGTTAGAAATTCATACAGTCCATCTTAAAAACTCAAAGCGGTTGCTTCTACGGTCCTAAATAAAATTTCTCCTTCATCTGAGCTGTCACTGAGTTATCTCCTGACTACTGCTATAGTGCACTTGGGTGACATGGAGGGTAAAACAACCCTATCATTTTTCTTAGATTTCCTCACCCTACATATGACCCATAACTTTCCTCTTGCTGACATAATAGACAAGCACAGTGGGAGAGGACAGTTGACAGGGACAACTCTTGATATTTTCATCTCTCTCCAAACCTCCACCGCCAGCCTATTCTCTCTCCATGTTTTCTCCCAATCTCCTTGTATTACTCAGTAACAACGAGATCATTCTTCTTCACAGTGTCTTTTTTCATTAACTGTCATTAACACCTCTGTACTCAGACGTCTTCTATTCCTATTCCACTCATTCATCTATTCTCGTAGCTTTAATTACTATCTCGATATGCTGACAATTCACCAATGTCTAACCTCTAGCGCCCAATCTTCCTCATAAGCTCCAAGCTCGTCTACCCACCCAGCTTTCTGTTGGGCATTCCCAGCTGGGGCCTCAGGACACCTCAAACTTGAGAGTTCTACAACTGAACTCATTACTTCCCTACCCCATCCTCAGAGCAACTCATTTGCCAACATCTAATTGCTTTCTCAGAGAAGAACCCTTGTTTATTCCGAGCTCCCCTGTCTTCGTGTCCAAAATCCAATCAATTACTATCTCCTGTCAATTCTGTTTCCTTCAAATTCACATTCTCCAATTTTCTCCATCTCAGTATTACTCTTAGTTCAGATCACCACTATCTCTTGCCTAGATTAGGAGAAGAGCTCCTCAATTTTTTTCTCCATGCTTCCAATATTGCTTGAATTATATGGCATTCCCTCCACACTGTAGCCAGAATAATATATTCTGCTTATAACAGTTTAATGCCCCCTCTAATTACTATGATGATGAGACATTCCACTTGCAGCCTTGCTAACAAGGGCCTTCCTGGTCTAGCTCTGCTTATCTCTCAGGTCTCATGCCTTCCTCATATATCCTCTCACTTTTGTGCCTGTGTGCCTGTGTTCTGTCTCAAAGGCTGTCACTCACCTCCTAGCTAAACCCCCGCCCTTCACTTAGATCATCCCTTTGGGTCTCAGTTTAGTTGCCACCTCTTCCAGGAATTAAAATGGACCAAAAGTCAATAAAATGCTATTTCTTTCTTATCTTTTCAATTCTACCACCTCCTCCTCCCCCTACTCTCTAGTTCCATTCAATAAGACCTTAGCTCCCCAATACATTCTGTGAGAAGAAGAAAGGGCAGTAGACACACACTGAAGAGACTTGGGGATTTTATTGATCGTATGTGTTGATGTATCGAAAAGAAACTGATGTGGAATAGAGGGAGATGGACTTCATTTTTTTTTAATCCCTACTGAATATCTATGAATCCAATGAATCAATGGGAAATAAAAGGTGGTATTTGAACTAGAGCTCTGATATACTTACTTCTCTCGGTGATCTTGAGCCCCCTTCTCGAAATGTTGGTTTACATCGGAAATTAATCTGTCATTTAAAAAGAACAGTGTATTATATTAGAGATAAGCACCCGACTAGAATGAGTTACCTGAAAAAACCAACAGTGACAGACATTGAGACTACAGAAAAAAAGAAAAACCTCAAAGAATAAGGAACATAGTCTTACACTATTCTTAGTCTTTTGAAATCATCACCTTAGATAATCCCAAGCGGTCCTGTTATCTTCAGTCCATGACTCTTCAGTCTCACTGATGAAATCAAAGTTATCTTTAGACAGTAATGCTCTTACGCCATAAATTTGAGAAACTGAGATAATAAAGAGGCAGAAGAAAAATATATGGCAGCTGAAATCATCCAGCTGTGTTTTAGATTTTAAAAGTAGGAAAATATAAACTTGAGACATTTTTAATATGATGAAGATGATTCACAGAAAATCCACGAAATTATTCTTCAAGCATTCAGCACTCCCTTACTTTTAGATGCGGAGGTCTCCCTATACATTTACATCTTCTTTAGCTACTTGATAAGGTGAAAGGAGTGTAGAAATGAAGTAGGAAATGAGTAAATGGAGTTGGGACAGCAAAAAAAAAAAAAAAATTATTGTAAAATATTACTAGTCATTCGCACAAAATATCACTTGGCAACAATTGATACTGTGTCCGTAAAACTAAATGAATATCCCCGGGGACTAAAATATTTCAATACATTTACACATGGCAGCTCAAGATACATAATGCACAGAGAATCCCACGTGGAAAAGGGGCAGGAGGCATGGAAGGAAGAGGACAGCAGAGAGCTCACTACTGGAGCCTTTCCCTTGGCCCCGATGACAGATAAATGGACTCTGCAGGATCCACCTCCTCTGGAGGAAAGACACCACCGGAATGTCACTTCCAGCCCCTCCCACACATTAATGCTGTGTAAGCGGGAACGCTGCTCAAAGCAAGGAACTCAGCTTCTGGCCGGGCTCTCGCCCTTGCAGCCAATTTAGAAAGAAGTAAACTTACAAAGGTCAGACATGTCTAAACAATGATTTTAAAGAGCTATGGAATTTTTTTTCTTTAATACGAAACATCTTGTGGAAAATCCCATGGGTGAATAACAACGTTTGTTATTGTGAAGAAAATGAGTACACGTGAGGCTTTTCTCTCTAACCTTATTATTCCTTTTCCTGAGAGTCAACATAAAATGATATCAAATAATACCTCAGCAAACAATACAGTGAATGAAACTTAAGCATTGTCCTTCCATCCTTTCATTATTAGTCTGGTGATAATGTTGGACTTCCAGGTTTTTAAAAGAGCATTGTTTTCAAAAAGTTGAAAATGGAAACTGACACCTGGTCTTTGAAGTCCAAACACTGGCAGGGTAGCAAAAATTGCAGCAGGTGGCGCTGTCTCACCTTTTCTAGCTGTTCGATGCAGGCGGTGTGGACGACGATCTTACAGACCGCACACTTCCTCCTGAGAGCTGATTTCTACAACAGACAATTCAAAAGACAAGAAGAAATGTTAACGGTCTGTTCTGAAGAGCTCCCTGGTAGTAAATAGAGTATACATAAATGAGGCAAACGTAAACCAATTTAAAACTTCATCATAAACATTCAATAATCGGACAAACTTCCGCAACAGTACTCTGACCTACCAAGTACCTTCATATCCGTGACTGAGGGTGGCCTAAGATTTTCTCTTTAAAACAGAATTATACTAGCTGCTGTATGCTGAGTATATACTATGAACCAAGCTCTTTATTCTGTTTTTTTCTTAGTTTCATAACCTAACATTGTAGGCATTATTATCCTATTTTTTTTTCACGTTTACTCTAATAGTTAAGGGGTAGGGTCTAGGTTCAAAACAAGCATGGTTTCCCTACAGCCAAACAATCTACATTTCAAGGGGCCATCCCCTTGGACTTTTATTCCCAGCACAAATCTATACAAAGCTACTTGGTTTCTGCCCAAATCTTCTGGAAAGTAAGAAGACGAATTTAACTTTTACGAGTCACCATCCTTATCACCATCATCATCATAGCAGCAGTAGCCCAGTAACAGCAAAAGCAGCTAAGGTGAATTTAGCACTTTCTACGTGCCAGGTATTCTTGTAAGCACCTCACAGAGAGGAACTCATTTCATCCTCACCACCTTAAGAAATAGATACTATTCTTACTACCATTTTACAGATGAGAAAACAGGCCCAGCAAGGGATGTGCCCAAGGTCATATAATTAGAGCACAGCAGGGCCAATTAGTCTGATAGCAGGCTCGTGCTTAAAAGCATGCACAGTTTGGCCTCCCTGACAGTCAGTACCAGTTAAAATTCACAATAAAAATATTCTCTGAGGTTGATCTTTTTTCTAACAATAAAAAACAAGCAGCAGGGAGAGAGAGAAAGGGGTGGAAATCTCAATTCAATGCTGACGGTGCCATGTAAAAATCTGAGCCACAAATGCTCAAGTCTCTCTATGGAGAACAGGCTAAAAGGCGGATCTGCAGGAATAATTTGAGGGTTTGAGCACTGAAAGAAACTTATTATAACAAAGCCAGTCTGTGACCCAGCCCATCAAAGCATCCGAGTGTGAAAGGCCCGAAGTCCCCGTCCTTAAGAAAGACACAAGACTCAGCTTCCCCTACTGAGATAGGATTTTTAAGCCAAAAATGGAGGTGTGGCTGCTACCAAGGAGTCTGGAAGGACTGCAAACCAGCACCTTGGAAGGCGCAGAATCAGGAAAGAAACTGTAGCCTCCCGCCTCCTTGGTGGTTCTACCCATTCAACACGGAGTCTCCACAGTGCCACCAGCCACCAGCCAAGCATTCAGAACGCTGCAGTCAGTACCGCAGCAACGACACGCATCGTCTTGATACCCACTGACTAAGGTTTAGGTAGCCTGCTTGCAAACGCTTTCGTCACTCGTGGCTTTCCTCTGCCTGAGGAAAGAACATGGTCGGTAACCTTACGTAAGCTTGGCAATCAATTGATTTTGCCAAAAAGGAGGATAAGGGAAACCCAAGCACCTAGCTACACTATTGAAAAGTGTCTTGGCTCTACTACTAAAAAGAAAGCGGCGGGAGGTGGGGAGGAAGGGGAAGGGGCGGGAGATGGGGAGGGAGAACAAGAAGAGTGACAAGGGCTTCCCTGGTGGCGCAGTGGTTGAGAGTCCGCCTGCCGATGCAGGGGACACGGGTTCGTGCCTGGGTCTGGGAGGATCCCACATGCTGCGGAGCAGCTGCGCCCGTGAGCCATGGCCGCTGGGCCTGCGCGTCTGGAGCCTGTGCTCCGCAGCGGGAGAAGCCACAACAGTGAGAGGCCCGCGTAAGAAGAGTGACAAGTACTAGTAGCAGCACCAGCAATGGCAGCATCGCTCAAGGCAACAGTAATAAAATTCTATGTTTGCAAATATTTTCGTGAGCTAAGTGCCCATAAGGAGCAAACTATTGTTGCTCTCCTGTTTGTTCCGGATCTCCTGGTGGGGATCACTGCTTTAGCACCACCCGCAGCAAATGCACGGGGCTCCTGAGTGAGTCCTGTTGCTCAAGAGTTATAGTGACGCTCAGGAGTTGATTTCGTTCTACCCATTATCCACTAAACCCCTAGTAGATTTCACTGCACGCAAGCAAAGCAACACTCTCATGGTAGCAACCACTGATGGGCTTATTTAAGGCCGCCTGAAAAACCTCCTTCCTTACCAGTAACTCCTGCCCTGGTCTAGCCTTGTGCCTGACCGTGTGCTCTGCATTGGGGCCTGCAGAGCTCCAACGGCTCCTTGAGGCTCCTACGGAGTCACTGGGGATAGTGGGAAGGGACAAATGTGCACTCGTCAAAGCCAGAATACCCCTTCCTTGCCTTGTTCTCCATCTGGATTCCAAGTCGGAATCTCCTTTGAATAGGGATCTTGCCTGGAAGAGTTTGAGAACCTGTGGCATAAGACTGTCCTCTCTCAGCTTCCTAGGGTGAGATGTATCTACACCGATATCATTCATGTGTAACAATTCAAGTGCAGGGTTCTACAGATGATAATATATGAAGAAAAGTGCTTTATGTTATAAAACTAATTTTATTTAAACAATGTTAAATTTTAAAAGGCCCTCATAAGGCATGCTTCTATGCCTTCTGAGGCAGAATATATAAAACCATAATCTGAATTTTTCTTTATAATCACTACAACATGATGTGTTTTACTACAAAGAACAGTCATTTTTCTGCTTCCTGTCTTTCTATCAGGCTAGATAGTCTTTCAGTGTTATCGTACCTGACTTTAGTTGCCTCCAATTTCTAAAATGACAGCTTCTAAACAGCTTCTCATCTGATAAATCAGATAATTAAGGTCTATAATCACATGCAAAATTAAGTGAATAAATTCTGAATGAAGGCCTCAGGTCTTTTTCCATAGTAGAAAAATGCATGGATTTTAGTTTCTCAACTGATGAGAACTGCTTCAATGAATCAGAAGTCTCAACTGCTGACTTCTTGGTTTATGACTATGCTTTAATTAGTTAAAGTCATTTGAAGTAGCTGGATAATAAGCTTCTGGGCAGAAACTGCTCAATTAATGCTTGGTTATGTTCCAATTTTTATTTGCAAGATTTAAACTAAATATAAAGATAAAACACAGGAATCTAGACATTCTCAATATTGTAACTACTCACTTTTTCTTTAAAAACTCTTAAGTCAATACTTCCTTCACTGTGAAAAATGATAAAGCAAGAAAAGTCATTAAAATTAAGTCAGCAGCTTAGTTGTTATTCTTCATATGGGGACATGGCTGTTATGGAACCTAGCACAAAGATACAATTTTAAAAATAAATATGGCCTGGGGCCCAAACATGCTTAAAAATCCACATTATAAAAGTTTAATAATTCACTCTCATCAATGAATTTAAAGGCCAATTAGGCTTACTGCTTCAAATATCAAGTAACCTCAGTGTCCTTACTAAGGGTTTCCTGATTTTGTCAAAGGAAATCCATTAATTTGTAATTGTGTGTGTGTGTGTGTGTGTCACATCTGTAAAAACTAGTGGAGGGGGCACCTCTGTGAAAACTAAGACAACATAGGCTATAACATAGACTATATCCCATTATACTCTGATCATAATTTACTTATATAATAATGACACAATGAATGATGTGCTATGCTTTAGGATGGTGGGCGTCACCTAACCAGCAGACCTAACAGTGATTGTAAGAGAACACACTCAAAGTTCTGACTTGGCCTTATACGCCTCCCATGCTGTGGGCGCTGTTGGCTTTCCAAGCGGTGACAGTTCCTCACCAAACTTCAGCTCACATCAAGTATGGAGGTAAAACTGTCACAGCCTTAGACCGGTGGCTCTGGGGATGGAAGCTGGAGCGGGCACAGAAGGACCAGAGGCAAGCAGTGGTAGAAAGTATATAACTGTCCCTGAGAAACAGTTTGATATCTAATCCTATCCCACCTACCCACTTCCTTTGGTCATAAGTCCCTGATCCATATGTACCACCAAGCAAACTACATGTTCTTCCTTTGAACAAGAGATGTGACTGCTGCTAAGTAGCAATGAATATCTGGTAGTAGTTGGCAACGTTTGATAGAGACGGAGAGAAGAGAGGGAGGGAGGGAGGGAGGGAGAAAGAAAGGGAAACCTAGTTTCACAGGTTTATGATTTCTGACAGGCCAAGGCCTCCTTGCTGCCCAAGGAAACTTAAATTGAATGCCACCCCTAATAGTCTGAAGTTTGACCCCGAGAAGCATGTACAACAAGGCTGGCTGAGCCCCTTCCCAATAAGCACACACCAAATCTCATTTTTCCCTGAAGATGGTCAAGTAATCCTGCCTCTGACCCCACCTCTCCCACTGTGTTCTTAAGGACACCACCCTCTCCCCAACACACACACACACACACACACGCGCGCACACACACACACACACACACACACACACACACAGGTTTAATCACCAGTGATCAGAAGCGGAGAAGTAGGAGGAAATATTTAGTCTCCGGAGCCGACATGGCAACCCTTTCTTGGCCTCCTGTCTCAGGAGACCTCAGGGCCAGAGGCTGCTGCTGGCCACACAGAAGTACTGGCCTGGCAGCATCTCACTGCACACAGAGTTCCCAGACATGGGCTCACAGACCCAGTGCAAGGAAGCACTGCTTCCATCAGCCCCGCCCTTATCATAAGGCCACAGCGACAAAAGGATGCATGGCCAGGGAAGGGGCTCCAGGCAGGAACCCAACCATCCTGGGAGTGGGGAAGGGTCACAGAAGGCACTAGGGGGAGGACAGGATGGAGCGCCGAGTGGTGAAAAGTCAGGAAAAGGGGGCTGCGTGAGGCTGGTGGGATGAGCTTCCCAGCTCAGGCTCCCCCAGCTGTCTTCTTCCCAGTAATTCTCAGCCCCCTCACCTTTCCCACGTCAGAAGAATCATGGTGAGAAATAGAAACTGAGCGCTGGGAGTCAGGCAAAGGAGAAACAGCAAGTGCGACAAGAAGAATTTTATCCTCCC